ATTAATACGAGTATCAATAAGTATCTATTTGTTTTGAGGATGTTAACAGGGAAATGTTGTCCATTTTTATCTGAATTTATAACCATTTATATAGGGATAAGTAAATACTGGACATTGGTAAATACTGTTTATTTATATTTGAGCTTATCAATAGGTAAATACAAGGTGCGATTATTAAATTGCCGCCTTACGCAAAAATGAAAATAACATTGGCATCTCATTTTAACTGATATATATATATACCACAATTACACAAAAGTATCTTGAAATACTAAAGCGTAAATTTATTCAATAAAAACGCCATTGATTTCAACCATGGCCCCCAGACGACTTCGGGATCTCTTGCAACTCTTCAGGACGGTCTCCTTGTTTAAATTGGTGAATGCTGCTATAATCCTTGCCTTCAATTCATCTTTGGTGTTACAAGGAGTTTTGTTGGTCTCTTGCGCAAGTAAACCCACACATAATAATCAAAAGGGGTTGCAGTCTGTGGAGTTAGGTGGCAAGAGGTAAGGGATGATGTACTCGGAGAAATTGTCTGTCAGCCATGACTAGGTTCTCCTGCTTGTATGGCATGGTGCAGAGTCTTGTTGCCAGACATATTGTCTTCCAGTAGCCACCCTCTTGACTCAGGCCATCACTACCTCCTCAAGGCACTGCGTGTTGAGTCTGATGCATTGTGGGAATATTAATGGAGGCATAACATTAGTGATCACGCCAAAAATCATCATATTGACTGGATATATCATCCAAATCGTCTGCACTGTCCTCAGATTGACACCCAAACTATCTGAAATGTTCGTATTGGAGCTTCAGGAGCGAAAGTCAAGCAGTACAGCATGCCGTTTCTAAATTTCTGGTGGAGTCAATTGTGTCATGATGTTCTTTATCGCACAGACGGTGTCCTACTATACAATGCAAAAATCAAAAACGAACAACGCGCATGCGCGAAATTAAAAATATAAAATGGCGACAATCTACCAATCGCACCCTGTATATTTGACCTACAGACCAGCCTAAACGAGGGAGATGCAAATAGACTTTCCCGGGATAAAATGCGTCACTGTCTCTGTCTCAGCGTCTCAAAGAGGCACAAGAAAACGCACACAATCATCCATATTAAATGAATAACGAAAAAAAAGGCGCGAATTTAAAAGTATAATAGGGCGACAATTTACCCATCGCACCCTGTATTCACGGATTCATGTTCATCCTAGACATCAAATAGCATTCATCTAAAGGTTCCATCGCTAAAGATGCTGGTAAAATGGTCGCACTCTTCCTGTATGGCTTCAGAAAATAACTGACTCCTTCCTCCATGATCTACCTTTACATAGACCCAGATCAGACCAAAAATGAAACATTGCTATCATATTGTTATGCATGATGACGGACGTCTTCGAATATAGAATCCAGAGGTTAGCAGTGAATATTTCGAAGACAGTAGGAAAGCATTGTTCAGGTTAGCAGTGGATATTTTGGTAAAAGGTAGCAGAGCATAGTTGATCCTTCTGTTTCTCTTCGCCTGACAAGCTGGACTGGACATTCGGGTAGAGTAGACAAAATGGCCGCCTTTATACACGACGGATTGAATATTCTACGTCTTCTGATTGGTTAACCTTTTATTGGTGAACTATAAAGGTAGTCAAGTCATTTGGGCTACCTCACTAGTTACATAGTATACACAAAAACTGCAACACATATCTGATCTGGAACTGCTAGTTCCTCACTTTCCATATTTGATGGATTCATTCGCGGCCTTCTCATCTACAACTCCTATCTCAGAGACGAAATGTCACAAGCCCCTCGCTATACTCTATCGCTATGTCCATGGAAAATGTTCTCAGGAACTAGATTCCTTACTTCCGACTTGCTCATCGTCCCAATTCCCTTGGTATTCCATTAGTAAGGAGGAAGTTTCATTCGCACAGCTTCGTCCAAAAAAATGCTACTTTGTAGCAAAAGAATCCCGGGAGGCTGCATCGCTGATCGCCACAAACTTAACTTCTTCGAGTCTAGGATCAACCGCTATCTTTTCTACATGTCCTCATAATCTATGCTAATTCGGACCTCCCTTTACGTTCAAATTGCAACTTCATTCAGTGACTCTCTACCTTGAGTAACACTTGAGCCTTGTATTGGGCGAACAGTAGTTTAAAATAGAAGCGTTTGTCAAATACGTGTGTGTGTGTTAGTTCGGACACAAACGTTCGTGTATATATATATATATATATATATATATATATATATATATATATATATATATATATATTAAAAATATATTTTAAAGTAGGTTATATTTATGGATTAAAGTGCTCAATATCATGGATAGAGAATATGTATATATAAAAGTGGACATTGAGTTTAAAACCCAGACGCGACAGTCTGTCCATGCTATTATCAGGCCAAGTGCATGGCGTTATATATATATATATATATATATATATATATATATATATATATATATATATATATATATATATTTGTAACCTAGGGAAGGTGACTTAAGAGAAGAATCAAACGAAGATTGGTAATGAACGATAATACTTAGGACAAGAACAACACATATAAGATTCGCCAGTGGCGCGTAGAAGAAGTAATCAAACTGCTAGAAGTGAGTCAAGTGAATTCCACAATGAATTTCCAATTGCAGACCAACATACAGTATTTACTACCGTATTTATGTGAATGGGGACATACCCATTATCGTCCGTAGGTATGCTACAACGTATATACATACATGCACAAACACACACACACTCACACATATATGTATATACACATATATGTTTGTGTGTGTATTCAACTCTCCCGTCGAATCCAACGTATGTAGGTCAGGCCGATCAGTTCCAAGGAATCGACAGCCCGACACCAGCACGTGATTTGATTAGAGTGGTGAAGGTTTTGTGCAAAACCATCCACACTCTTTGAAGGTATATATATATATATATATATATATATATATATATATATATATATATATATATATATATATATATATATATATATATATATATATATGAAAAATATGATTTTAATTTAGGCTATATTTATGAATTAAACTGCTTAATATCAGAAAAGTGGAAATTGACGGTCTGACAATTACGTTCAATGTGCATATATATATATATATATATATATATATATATATATATTGTTTATATCATTCGGACTGTTATCTTCATCTTCATTGACATACACCATGAGCTCTGGTAAAAAATATGCAATAATAATAGCGGATAATTGCAATATGAACACTGGTAAGAAACGGTTGTTGAGACATTCGGTTTATAAGTCCCACAAATTTATACACAGATATCAGCCAGGGCACATGGCCCAGAGTTGAGTTAACGAAATAACTGAAACATACGGGAGAGGCATGGCACAGGGAACTAGAACAATCTACCCCAGTGGACGAAATAAAGGGTTCGGTTCGAAATTCCAATTACCTGAAGAACGCTGGAGCGTACAATGGCCCAAGCGTTGTGAATATGGCAATGAAGAGGATGATAACAGTCCGAATAATGTAAATAATGTAAATAATCGTATTACCTCATCTCATATATATATATATATATATATATATATATATATATATATATAATTAAGTAACGAAAATCTTGGTAATCCGTATGGATAATCCCAAGGAGGAATTTCGGAGAGCTCAATGTTAAGTCAGAGCGAAGAATTTAATTTAAGTAAAAAACAGATCACTTATATCTATCTATATATATATATATATATATATATATATATATATATATAAAAGATAAAATTAGCATATATATATATATATTATAATTTCATCCCAAGTAAGGCAATAAAGCCGCTAAGATTATAAAGTTTTACTGAATGTGAGAGTATATGAAAAAAGAAAACATTACCGAGAGAACAATAAAAGAAGAGGAACTATGAAGACAGAAGATAATAATTGATATTGCATTTAAATTTTTGAAGATCAAATTTGACTGGAATGCAAGGAACCGGAAGAGAGAAGTGCGAGAGAATAAACTGTTAGTCGAGAATTTCCGGTTTGTTATAGTGGAACACACCTATTCTATAGTTAATAGACTCTCCCACCTATAATAAGTAGAAGTCGCTCAGTGAGTTGGTCAGTCAGTCGATGTCGGACAACCGTTAGTCGGATACCAGCGACCACAACTAGATTTCTCTGCGTCATTACCTATTATATCAAGTTCCTAACGTTTTGTACGTCGAACCTATTTTAGGACCGAATTAGTACAAATACAAGCCTCCACTGTGAAGCCACTCCATAACACGGTTAAATCTAGCCATTTGAAATGTAAAATGATTAATCTTTGCCGTCAATGTAGTACTGTTCTTCAATTCATAAAGTCTGGGTACCAAAGACAAAAGTTCATCAGAACAATTACCATGAATCTATAGAAAAGGCCCAGGGACGTTACCTAACAGCGATGGGAAATTGGCTGAAGCCGTGATGCCAGGTCACGACCAATAACATTGCAATTTCATCTTGGTATTTTATTAAGAATCTCATAGTAGAAGAATCAATCTAGACGTGACATTAATATAAACATATGTTCAGATTTCTTCGCCAAATATCCAATGGAGTCATATAGCTTCATAACTATTATTTCTGTTGTTAATTAAAGAATTTGTATGGACTTGCTTTTAGCTTTCTCTCACATGCGTTGATTTCAAAAATAAATTTGCTATTTTATTTCCTTTTTCATAAAAGCTTGGGAAACGTTGTGTACTTCAATTAGTATATAAATATTGATGGTCTCCAAGGCCAGAATTTAAGGTCACATGGAGCAAATGGATAATGTTAATGTCAAGTCATGTCGCTTTTGGCGGTAATGAAATAAATGAACACAGTTCATTTGGGGAAAACGATGATAAAACCTGGGACAGAAGGAAAGTGGTGAGTTGCAAAGGAAAGTAAAAGAAACAATTAATGAATGACAAGAGGAAAAAGCAGAATAGGGAATAGAGAATAAAGAAAGGAACAAACAAACAAGTAAAAGAAAGAAAGAAAGAAAGAAAGAAAGAAAGAAAGAAAGAAAGAATAATCTGGTAGAATTTGGGAAGGAATAAAAATTAAAAAAACACAAGTACTGCAAGGAAGAAAATAGAAAACAAAAGAAAGGACATTAAGATGAAAAGAAACGAAAAAGGTACGAGCTGCAAGAAAGAAAGAAAGAAAGAAAGAAAGAAAGAAAGAAAAAAGAAAGAAAGACAGAAAGATAAAGGTAACTGAACAGAAAACAAAAGAAAGAAAAAGGAAAGAAAAAGAAATAAAAACTAAAGCAAAACCAAAGAAACGCTAAGAAATGCTAAAAAAAGAGGAGGAAAAATGACAAAGAAAGAAAGAAAGAAAGAAACTGAAAAGAATCAAAGGAGAAAGAAAAAGAAAAAAGAGTAAGCAAAAAGAAAACGAAAGAAAAAAACTAAAGACAAACAAAAGAAATGGTAGAAAATGCAACAAAAATTAGAAAAAGAAAAAGAAGAAAGAAAGAATCAATAAAATTGAAAATAAGACAAAAGAAAGAAAACGGAAAGAAAAAGACATCATAGTAAACCAAAAGAAGGAAAGGTGATAAAGAAATGGTAAGAAATGCGGAAAAAAGCTGAGGAAAAGTAAAGAAAAAAGAAAGAAAGAAGCAAAGAAGGAATAAAGCGGAAAAGAAGACAAAAGAAAGAAGAGAGAAAAAAGAATAGTAATCAAAATAAAATGAAAGAAACATTAAGAAATGCAAACGAAAAGGTGGCGAAATAAGAAAGAAAGAAAGAAAGAAAGAACGAAGCCAACAACAATGTAGAAATAGAGAAGATTAGAAAGAAAGTATTGGAAAGCATCTTTGAGCATTAGGGGAGAGCCAAATGACAAAGAGAATTATGTCAAGCTTATCTGAAATGGCATCAGAAGCCAAGAGAACCGTGACCATGATAAAGTCTTGAGATAAAACTGATGCTACGCTGTGATTTGATTCGGTCGACATCAAAGGATGATGACGGAGATCCTTGACTGGCACGAAAAGGCGCTGAAATCGTCTCGGTGTGGGTTCAATGGAGATATGATGACATTTGCCCTTGACAGATGTCAGATGCAGCAAGACTATTTTCAGATGAGGTGACAGTGACCTGCGTCGTTGAAGATCATTTTTGACAAGGAGTTTGAGATAACTTCGCTAAGATATCTTTAGATGGGTGGGAAATGAGAAGAGACCCCAAGAAAAAAAATTGCTTAATGCTGTTGATGTCTATTGGAAAAATTCCATTAAATTTCCTTCGTTTTATTTCACTTACTTTATTTTATTTTATTTATTTATTTATTTATTTATTTTAGCTAGAGACACTGTGAACTCAATCACGAAATGGAATTGTCTTTATCCGAAAACTCTCCGACCTCCCTATGGCTGCACGACATTTTAATAGCTAACACAGATGCCAAATCAAATCGATTGCTTGGTCTGCTTCTAGGAAGGTTGGGTTACTGTATTGTACTAGACAATTTTTTTCGCCTGAATCTATCATACATATCTACAAGTCTATTCGTCTATGCTTAAAATATTGCTGTCGCATATGGTCCGGTGTTCTTGATGAAATCCAAAATCGAATCAGCAATATTATTGATCCTGACCATTTTATAGTTATCTAATGAGTTTTAGTATCTGTCTGTGCAATAAAGGCGTTAGTTAGATCCAGTGACAGGACACAAAGAGTGTGAGTTCAATACCCGGTTAAGGCAGTGAAGAACTTGGAGAGTGGAATTAACAGGAGATAACTGACGGCTGACATCCATTAGACATGGCACGTGGAACTAGAACAGTCTACCCCAGTGAGCGAAATAAAGGGTTCAGTTCGACATTCCAACCACCTGAAGAAGGCCGGACACATGGCACAGTGGATAAAGGCGTTGGTTAGATCCAGTGACAGGACCCAAAGAGTGTGAGTTCAATACCCGGTTAAGGCAGTGGAGAACTTTCAGAGGGAAATTAACAGGAGATAACTGATAACTGACATCCATCAAACATGGCACGTGGAACTAGAACATTCTACCCCAGTGAGCGAAATAAAGGGTTCAGTTCGACATTCCAACCACCTGAAGAAGGCCGGAGCGTACAACGGCCGAAACGTTGTGATAAATATGGCGGCAAAGATGAGGAGAATAGTAAATGGTGTATTTTTTTAGCCTGACTGTACATTACACTGGTCAACTAAACAAATTTTTTGAAATGGTGTCCAGACACCAAACATCTCCGATCTCCATTTCCGAACCCTTATCCATGTAGCAAAAAAAAATTAAATTTATTTTAGCAATTAACATCTGCAATCAGTTTCTTCTGCCTGTCTCTGTCTCTCTGTGTGTCTGTCTGTCTGTCTGTCTGTCTCTCTCTCGTCTGCGACACTTGTAGCAAAAAAAATCTTTAAATTTATTTTAGCAATTTACATCTGCAATCAGTTTCTTCTTCTTCTTCTTCTTCTTCTTCTTCTTCTTCTTCTTCTTCTTCTTCTTCTTCTTCTTCTTCTCTCTTTCTCTCTCTGCCCCACTCTCTCTCTCTCGTCTGCTACACTTGTGGCCAATTCAACACAGCTATTTGGGTATCACCCAATGGGGTCTGTTGAATCAAGAAAAAGAATGCGTGTGCCAACACAAAGTTCAATCGAAAATCTGTCGTATCAGTTCAGCAGGTAACGCAGCTATGAAAACCGGGATCAGAAATGCAACCTTCACTTCGCAACAGCAGAAATGCACTTTCGACCACAAAGCTCAGAAATCGTTCTGCCCGGTAGGCAAAAAAAAAAAAAAAACAAAAAACACAACGGCCTTTATTGACCGAGCGATTTCTCTGATTGGCCACGCCCTTCAGGGAGGAAAGAATATTAGCATAGTTTCTCTGATACTTAAAGTAGAAGGTTTTTGCTGTCTATTTTTTTTAATTCTCCTTCAGCAAACCACGCAAAAGAACAAACTTTTTTTCGCTATAGATGATTTTCTCTTTCGCTGCATTCTATTACACCACTTGAACATCAAATACTGTGCAGTACCTTGTATTCCCAAGCGGTCACCCATCTAGATACTAGCCAAATTCGACGTTGCTTAACATCAGTGTTTCAAGGTCATATAGCCAGATGAGGGGGTTTGGTTTGTTTTACGGCATATCAACCTCAATGGGTTATTTAATGCCGACAAAACTTTTTTGCAGATAATGGTTTTCTTGAAAAATCTATTTCTGCAAAATATTTTTCCTTGAAGAAATCTATAGCTGGTCATATTTTTCCAAAGAATGTATAGCTGTTTGTATTGCTGGTATTTTTTTAAAAGTATTGCTGATAATAACATTTGCTTCAAAAATTATTACTGGTAATAATTTTTTTTATAACAAAGTATTCCTGGTAGTAAAACCTATTTTTACACAAGTTTAGGTGGTAATTATTTGCCCATAGCTGGGACCCTAACATGTGCTACCATCCCGGGTCAGGGTGGACCCCAGGGAACACCAGCAATTAAGAGGTGGTTCCATTAATGACGATTGACCCTCAACGAAGAGTTCAATCAGAGAAGCATTCAGGCGGGAGTTTGTTTCACAGTGTAGCATTTCTACGATAACAGCTATCTGAGTGTAAATTACTCCTTACGAATACAGGGGAAATGATGTGATTCGACAATGTGTGCGTAACAAGGCGTGCCTTAGCAGTAATGGTCTGAACTGGTGAAAGTAAAGAGTAGTGCTCATCTGGATATTTGTCAATGAAATAGCGGTTGTGTATCGACAGGCTACAGAGGAGGAAATGAATCCCCCCCCCGACCAAGAAGGCGCAAATGATTTTGAACTAGCAAGGCAGAAACGTGTGAACTGGGCAGCTTCAACCCACATATAGAAGTAGCACTCCATCTTTCTTTTAATCCAGTGGTTAGCAACCGATTTTGGGGCCATGCCCCACTTTTAGAATTCTAAAATTCTGGTGCTGTAATATTTAATTCAAAATTTGACTGCAGTTCACGTGGATGAATGAAACTGAAATGTTTACACGCGATGATTGGCCAACAAAACATGAACTCTTCCAGCGACATGCATCGCGCCCTCTCCTTACGCGCTGATTGGCCAACAAAACATGAACTCTTCCAGCGACATGCATCACGCGCTCTCCTTACGCGCTGATTGGCCAACAAAACATGAACTCTTCCGGAGACATACATCACGCGCTCTCCTTTGTTGACCGAGGCACTCGAGTGTGGAGAGATGGAAAATGCCTTGTAATGCCAATTATATATGTACGTACAGCAAAACAAAATATTTTATATATGCATACTGTATATGCATCTTGTATTATTACGCATTAAGACTCTCACTCAGACTCACTAGAAAACAATTCACTGTTAATAACTCATTCTCGAGTTCCTCCCTCTTCTTCGATATATTAAACCGAAGGGTGCACCCTCTACGCATGCCCCACCAAAATATTACCATGCCCCATCGGTGGGCCCTGCGTCCCATGTTGGGAATCATTGTTTTAAAATATTGTTTTTTTATAAAGTATATTACATAATCTGTGTTGTGTACCGTGCGTATATTTACATTTTTCGTGTTGGTATTTTACAAGTTATTCGTTTTTGGTTTTCGATTTTTAAGTAACGTAATAAAAAATTGTTTCCGTCTCTGCATTTTACGTTGAGTTCTGTTTCTTTTCTTTTTTTTAATTTGTGCTGGTCAGGGAGGAGAGATTATAGCTATTTTCCCCTCCAGACATAGTTTACAGGTTTTTAATTGATTCTTGTAAGCTAATGTTTTTCTTATTTTTCATGATATTTTACGTTTTATTTTGTGATTTCAAACTCAAGTATCGGCAGCGACACTTTATTCCTATATAACATTTTAATTGGATTTTTGGTTTCAATCTGCCATATATGTTTAGAAATCATTGTGCGCTTCGCGTGTTTACTTTTTATAAAGTATGTTTTGTGTGTGTAGTTTCTCTATTTCCAAGTTTCTTTAGTTACTCCTATGTATATATTTTTTCGTTATCGGCTGATTTTACAGTGGTTTAGTATATTATATGGTATGCAACCTATTGAAATATAACCGTTATTGCAGGAAATTGAAGCATAATCATTACTGCCCACTCATTAACCTAATCTGACTCTTGTGGCTGGAGTCAGGAACTTTCTTGAGCGTCAAAATGAAGCGGCCGTATTTCCAGCCTTTTTAGTGAGGGATTCGATATATGGCTTACGATTTTAGGTCTGGGGTGGGCTTGAATGTTAATAAACATTCACATCAAAATAATCATGAAATAAACTGAAAGAATACAAAAAATAATAATTCGGCTGATTCACAGCTAAATGAAAATAATGAAGTGCCTGTATTTGCACTCAACTGAGAAAATAAAATTACATTTCAAATGTGATAACTTAAATTTAGGTTAGAGACTCGGTCAGTCAGTTAAATACCAGACATGATACACGATTGGGCCATCAAGTCTCGTTCATGGCTGACTAGACAGATTTTCCCACAGTAGGCTGCTGTTTCTTTCTGAAGTAGACTGGTTGACAACCAAGGCTATAGGACCCACTCTGTCTTGTTATTCAAACGGGATGTATTATAGAGTATTATCCTTTTATTGTAAGCACAGTGGAGTAATCGATAGCGGCTCGGATTGAGGAATCGGAGAGCCGAGTTCGAATTCCAGTCGAATCCATTACATTCTAACGTGCTAATACCCTTGGGAAAGGTATGAATCA